GTAGCCCTGGCGAAAGAAAGAGAGTCAGAAATGCATGCAAACTGCTTTTCACTCCCTCCGAAAGCCCCAATAACAGTTGGGGGGCCAAGTGGCCGGGGGGTTTAACAGACCCCTCATGCCCTGGGGAAGAAGAGAGAGAGAGAGAGAGAGAGAGAGAGAGAACGAGAGACGTAGCCATTGTGGCTCAAGTCATCGGCCACACCGTCCTCGCAAGGGTGCGCTGGTGGCTAGATGCCATCCGTTGCAGTGTTTCGGCTGACAAGAGGGCCCATGCGAAACAAGCTGGCCCAAAAGTGGGGGAAGGCATCATGCCACGATGTGGAGGAACCCAAACAAAGACGCGGACCGGTGATCGACGACATCATTCCAGACAAGGACCCGGCAATCCTAACGAACGACCCCCTCCTCCCAGAAGGTGAAAGCAAGCAGACGATACCGGAGATCGAGACTGGGAGGCACCCACCAATACGAGGGCATACCGTGAACATGGCAGGGGACCGCCAAGAGTGAGAGGTACGCCGGTGGAGGAGGACCCAGTGAACGACGAGACCCCAACTAAAGGGGCAAGCACCTGGCGTGACGCACCCTCCAAGCAAAAGCACTTGATGATAGGGGGGACCTGCCGCTGCCCGAGATGCATGGTAGGTGTTCCCCCAGAGGTCAGCCCATCAGGGAGGGGGCAGAAAGTGTTCGTGTTGTAGACGGGATTGTGTGCTACTGCAAGCTGGGGCTAGGAGCACGGCTCAGTAGAGAGACCTAGGAAATCGGCTTTGGGACTCCGGATTCCGCACTCCAAGCAAGCGAGAGAGAAATTCATCCAAAGAGACTCGCGGCTGCTGGACCCTAACTCCATGACGAGAGACAAAGGGCAAGTAGGGGTGGGTGGGAAGTGCTAATTCGTCGATCCATCATTGTATTGCAAAATGGATGGAGATGGTGGGAGTCGGCGGGTTGAAGCTCGCAGCCATATGTTTTGCGTCGTCGGAGCAGCACAGCAGTGCTGATTGTGTCTCCTTCCGAGGCCTGGTGCCGCCATGGATCTGCCAATCTGCTTCGTGCGGTCCTGAAAAATTGGAAACCCTTCGTAAGTCGAGTGGGCGCGACGGCGCGACGTAAGACGGGCCCTCCACCGAGGGCCCTCCTTTTTGCTTCTCCGAGCCGAGGTCCTTTGGCGCCTGCAAGCCTCGGCAGAGGTTCGCGACCGAAAGCGAAAGACGCAAGTCTCTGCTGGCAGCGAGTAAGAAAACGGTCTCTTTTGTCTGTCGCACGCCTGTGAGGTGAACAAGCGGAAGCAGGAGCGACGGCTTGCAAGCGAGAGTTTTGTTTTGTCGGCGCAGCCGCTACTATCACGAGTCTTTGGCAGGAGAGCTTGGAGCAGGAGCGGCAGGCAGCTGTGAGGTGGGCGAAGGGGATCTGCAAGAAAAGGTGCTGTGTGGTGCTGTGCAGGAAGTGTGGCACTTTGTTTGGTGCCGGGCTTTGGGGATGACCATCTTCGCTCACCTGCAGGCTGTCTGAACAAAAGACCGCCCAGCTCCAGGACATGGTGATTCAGGCAGTGTTCCCTTTCCAGTTCTTGCCTTCGTTCGGGGCACTCTGAGTCTCAAGTCTTCAGGCACAGCAGCAGTGCCTACAGAGCATCCGAGACTCGGAGGCATCGGCCGCGAAGGCCGACCGGGCAGGCAGAGGGCTGCGAAGCATGTCTTGTCATGCTGCAGTCGCCAGGCGAATTCCAGGGCCGACGCAGCAGAAGCCAAATTGGCTGAGGCTTGGCCCTGCTGTGCGAGAACAAGCCGTATGCAGTGTCACTAACACTGCGATGAACGCCACCTCCCACGGTGGTAAAGTTGTGCAATCGCTGTGGCCGTGGTGCTTTGAATTGCTCCGTGAGGTGCAGAGGCAGCTGGAACTCCTCGACAAGGAGCCTCGGCTTGGGCTCGGGCTACGCGGGCATACCCTTGAATAGGGTTTAGACCATGCAGAGCTGTGCCCAGCATGCTGCTAGGTGGAGGATGCAGAGAAGGTATCCTCGGCGCAGGCGGAGCAAAGACCAGCAGAGCGGCCAGCGAGGCCCATTGCAGAAGTCCGGCTCGCAGCGGAAAGTTCGCTTGCCGATGCTTCCGAAAGTTCCAAGCCGGACACCAGCTCGGACACGAAGCCGCAAGAGCCGCAAGAGCCGCAAGAGCCGCAAGAGGAGCCGGTGAAAGAGGCGGCTGCGGCTGAGGAGGTGCCAGAGCTCAAAGCAGAGCCGGCTACGACGGAGTCTTCACAGCCATCGCAGCCGCGACAGCAGCTTAAACCTTTGACCGTCGAAGTAATCAGGGTGCCCGACGCGATTCCACCGCCAGCGCGAGCAGGTCCAGTTGTTCCAGGCACGACGTGGGGCATTGCTGAGTGCAGATACTGTACATGTCAGCATAAATGTCCTTGATTCGTTTGCCGCTTTCCTGACAGGTATCCTGCAACCTGGTGTGGTTCCGCGTGCCCTGACACCACAGTCACCACGTTCACCCGCTTGGTCCAACAAATCCGGATCTGAGAGGTTTGGAGATGGTGAGGAGTTTGAGACAAGGAAAGATGTAAAGACACTCTTTGTCCAGTGCTTCAAAGATGACCTAATCCAAGAGCGGCAGCTACTCATGTCGCAGATCAACAACCTCTTCAAGCTTCGAAACAATGGCGAGCCTCTTCAATACAAAGAGGCTGGCTACGAGAAGCTTCACAATTTTCTGACGGACATCCCCGGCCTTTGCCTGGTTGGAGCTGGCAACCGCATGGAGCCTTTGCTCTTAACTTTGCAGCAGAGATTCCTTTGCCGTATATCTTCGTGTTTTTCGTGTTGCGACCCGAGGAGCTGAAGCTGAATGATCGAGACAGCTTCGAGCGGTGTTGCGGTCAGTTGCTCGTGGGGCGGGCAGATCTGCCCGTCTTCGACCAGCCCAAGCCGGTTCCAGAAAGCTTCCAGCACAAGGCCCCTTGCGACAAACACAAAGAGAAAACTCTCTTAGAAACTGCCAAGACTAAGGTCATCGAAGTTTTCAGGCGGTGTGGCAGCCGGGAGATCCCCGCAAAAAACTTTCGGGACTTGTGGAACTGCTTCTTCCCCCACGAGAAGCTGCAGTGCAAGGACTCTGCATGCTCTCCTCCGACAGGCCAGATCGAGGGAGGCCGTGGAGTGAAATCCTTCCTGTATTGAGGACTATGGATACCGTGATGTCAAAGGCCTCCTGGCCAACATCCCTGTGGTCGAAAAGGCCGGGATATAGCGTTGAGAGAGCCTGCTACTGGTAATCTTGGGTCCCTAGTCGGTGTCTCAATTTTGAGTGCTCGTCAAATTGCTAAGGTCGGAGGCAAGAACTCTACCAAGTACGTGCTGAAGAGCGAGGTCGAGATCTTGCCCAACGAACAGGAATGCCGATGTTCTGCCATTTGAAAAGTCGCTTGCTCCGTAAAGTGTGACCCGAATCCCCAGCAGGACTCGGCATTGAAGCTCGAGGGTGATGGGTACCGCTGGGAGGTTGGGACTGCGGTCACCCTTCCCCAACAACATCTCCGCACAGCACCACCTTCCAGCTTCATGGCCCCGAAAAGGAGCCGAGTGTGAGCCAGGCAGATGTGGTCCCTCTCCCTTGCAGGTGCCGCAGGAGCCGGCGCCCATCGGCGGAGCCCTCGCTTCGCAGCACCTAGACCTGGCGGTCCCACTCACGGACTTCGTGGCCGGGGAGGCAGGAAATCGGTGCAGAGGGCGAGTCGGCGACGGTGAGTCTTTTTGCAAAAGTTGGTTTTGATGTTCGCTCCACCACGGGGGGAGGTTCAACCGTCAGTTATTTCGACACAGAGCCCAGGATGCAGACATGGCCTGGTCCAGGCCATCTTTAGACAAGTCTTCCGAGTGTCTGGTGGAAGCCAAGGAAGTTGTTTTTGGCTGGGACCGGCTTGAATGACTCGGCACCTAGTCTGGGCCCTGGGCCTCATGGTGGGAGCTTAAAGCCTTCGAGGCTTTCACCCCAGCCATGCAGTGCTGAAGCCTTTCGAGATGTTCAGTCCTCTTTACACTTTCTGTGCCCAGGTCCCACGCAGGCCACAGCCTCTGATGCGGCTGCGAGGCCTACCCAGGGTTTGCTTTTGATATCCTCTAAGGTTTCCCTCGTGTTGAGGATGAGGGGCACCGTAGGAGTTGTCGAGTGTTGGGTCTACTGTGTCATTCTAGCAGGTGTGATTTTCCTGTGCGTGCGTCACTTGCCGGCAGAGTATCTAGATTGTCGAGCCCTGCTGACTGGAGGGGGCTTGCACCGCCTCCGCGACAGGCTGGCTTGGGGTGGGGGTACAGCAGAGGGCTTCTCATCTCGCATCATCCGAAGGGGCAAGCTCCGGGCCGGTGGGCAGCACCTCAGGCCGGCAGGGCAGTGCCGGGCAGTGTGAGCTCTCTAAGCAGATTCCCTTTAGACAATTTCCTTGTGCCAGGCTTGGAATGATCTGTCGTGGCCAGCACAGGCACCGTAATACAGCTATCGAAATCTGGTCAGAGAAGTCTGCAGCATTTGTCGAGGAGCCCTCAGCCTCGAGCACGACCTGCGCAAGCCTCTTGGGCTCAAGGAGAAAGGGCCAGCAGAAGTTGGTACAGGGGGAGCTTGTCTCAGCAAGGAAGCAGCCTCTCCATCCCAGGCGTGACTCCCTTCTTCCCCGGCGCAGCGCCGGAGTTGCGGCTTGGATTGCACATGCCTCCCGAGTGTCATTATGAAAAGCTTCTTGGGTCGTGGCCGCGCGCACCTTCGATGAGGCCGCAGCCGTACCCCTCACTGCCAATGAACGTGCCGACGCCGGCGCCGGCACTGCGGCCGCCGCAGCCGCCCCGCACTAAGAGTGGACGTGCACGGATCGAAGCCGGACCCGTCTTAACATCGGATGTGTCGTGGGGATACTATCACCTGGGACTCGTTTCCATTCTTGCTCGAAGTTTTGCCTTGACTCCTGGGATAGACGGATGGCGAAGGGTCTGGAAGCCTGAGGCTCTGCCAGGAAATTGCTGTAAATGCAGTGCCGAATCCCCGATGTCTGAAGAAGGCCTTGAACCCTTAATCCCTGACATTCCCTGACTCTGGGAAAGGTGTTTCGATGTAGGTAACCCCGATGTGAAGGGCTCGAAGAGCCGATCCATTGCCTCTGCTGCCCGAGGTTGCCCATGCAACAGCAACTGCTCGATTTGCAACCGGGTCGCAGCTGTGTGCTCTCTAGCCTCCTTCAGGGTCTGTGTTTGGAGGTTTTTTGGAAAGCTACATGAGTCGACGTGCTACTTGACTACTTGACACCTCTGGGGCCCTGAGAGCTCCAAGGCAGCACAGCCGGCCACTGGGACAGCCCTTGGCACAGCCCTCGGATCCTCGCTTTGTGGCGCAGGCGCCCTACCGGCAGGACCGAAATCTGAGACTTCGAAGAACAATCGGGAATCTTCTGTTTTCACATCTGCCAGGACGTGGCGACAGATCGTGCCGAGGACGAAAGAGAACTCGGGAGGGCGACGTGAAGGGGTGTAAACGAAGATTTCCCCTCTGGCGAGGAGCTCATCCGCCTGCAGCAGGAGGCAGCCCTTTCCTTCACAGACCATTTTCCGACCCAAGGATGTTCTCATTTTCAGTGTCAAGTGTTGACTGATAAAAAATCTTCAGCACCTTGTGATCTTTCTGGTTTTCGAGGTTCAAACCCGCCTCCTGCAAGAGCAGCAGCGACAGCAGCAGCTGCTCGACGCCATGTCGCACCCGGCGGCGCAGCTCGGTGTGCAGATCAGAGATGTGAGCCATGCACTGCCACGGCGGCATACTCCATGCAGCCCCAAGCACGAAGGACGCACCATCCCTCGGCCCAGTTCCACCTTCAGGGGCTGCCGCTGCCACAGGAGCAGCCTGCAGCTCAGTTCGGAAAAGGAAGCCCATGGAGGCTTCACTGCACCCGAGAGCACTCAGGTTTCAGCAGCCACTGCTGCAGCCACAAGAGCATTTGGGCCTTCAGTACTTCAGTCGTCCTCCAGGCCAGTAAGTTGGGGTTGCGAAGGTCGGGAGACCTTGTGTGCAGTGTGCAAAGATTTGCGAGAGAAGTGTGTGTGCGGGGAGGATTCTCAACGGGTGCTGGCCGCGGTTTCGTAGTGCTTCCCTCTTCTATCATAGGCAGCATGTGAGACCGACTCGCCTCGCTGCTTCGATGGGGGTTGGTGGACGGATATTTTTCATGGTAATGCTTGCCTCATCAATCGAGCCAGGCGAAAACCAAATCACTCCTATGCCTCCCGGCTGACAGTTGAGTCCATCGAAAGCGGTTGCATGTGCGAGTGTGTGTGTGTGGCTCTTTAGGCAAAGTTCGCTTTGCAATTTTCATTTGGCGCCGATGGCGCACGATGTTGCCATCCTTTGAATTCCTTGTGCCCGTTAAGCAAAGGCAGCCCAGTGGTGCAGATGACGAGGCACATTCGTGATCTTACTGGTTGTGATATTCGTAGCATGAGCCTCCGCTTGCAAGTTTGAGATTGCCTGTTGCAGGCAGGGAGCGTTCCGCAGGAGCTGACCCCCGGGAAAATCACGCCTGATGCAGGCCCTTGCAGCCTGCCGGGAGTTTTTCACAGCATGCTCCCGCAATGCCAGCTGTCTATGGGTTAAATGATTAGCAGGGCTCACCCAAGCAATGTGGCTCGATGCACAGGGCTTCACCTGGACTTGCTCATGCGGGTGCTGCCGCCGAGCTTGCTTTGGATTTGCCCGTAGAGTAACCCGACTCCCAGCAAGAGCTTTCCTCATCTATTCGACCGCCGAAGCTTTGTGGCTGTGCACTTCGAGCAGACGCTTCCGTGTTCGTTACTCGAATTGGCAGATATGAGCATAGCATGCCCACCCTGTCTTAGCAAACGCACGGTCATACCGAGTGGCATTGGACAGGGCAGTCTTTAAGTTTCTCAAAGAACATCTGCGTTTGCACACCTTGGCCAATGTTGTGTGGCAGGAAACGAGTGCCGTCACAGCCATGCAGATGCGGGCTTCGAGGCTCGTAAGGACGGCTAATGGCAACAACTTGAAGAACTTTTGATATCTTTGCGAGTTCGGAGTGCAGTCCGTGGCGGTTGCACAGACAGGGAAATCTGAAATTCATCCCCGAACCGTGGAGGTTGGATCGGCCACGGAAATCGGCGAGTGCTTTCGTGCAGCTCGGCGAAAAACATGTGTTCGGAGAAGCATGTCCTCGTTCAATGATACGCCGCGCCGTACGCCCAAACTCCAGTCCAGAAGCAGGACTTCGCCTGCGACGATCCGACAAAATGACGAAGAGCAGTGGGTGCCCCAGAGGTGTCAGAGGTTTTGCAAAGATGATGCATGAGGCATGAGGCTCAGCATCCAAACGCTTCGGGTGGGCGCGAGAAACTGCTGCCCTTCTGCTTTGCACAGGATTCACCAGTCCAAGTTCGACGTGGGATCGCTGTATCAGGCCAGTCGGCAGGAATCGATGTCTGTGTGCGTGAGAGAGAGACTGCATCATGCTGAATGCTACTGAATGCTGCATGGGATGTACTGTCAGCCTTGTGCAAATGTAATGATGCACCGGCACCTATCCTCAGCTGTGTGACTTCATGAAAACTTCTCAGAAGTCATGCTGCACTCGGTGCACACCCGCATTCTCATGGCACTGTCCCGAAGCTTGGAAGCCACTGTCGGAGACTTCTGCATTGCTTCCCAGGGCCACCTAGAAGCACTCCAGAACGATCGAAACTGCATGCTGGCATGCCCGACGTGCTTTCTCCTGATTCAGAGCATTGAAGATGCGCGACGCAATTTCATGGCAAGACTGTTGAGTCTAGCAAGGCAGCAGGACATGTTTCGTGACGATGGGCTCCGCTTGGGCGAGGTGTAGGTTGAGTGCACAGTTCTCCAGCCATTCTGGTCATGGCAGGTCCATTTCGCAAATGGTCGCATACTTTTCTCGAATGCTTCTCCCTCAGTTTCAGTGTATGCAAGGCAGATGCTCGAAGCTCGGGCATGTGTCGGTTCTTCGGAGGGCCATGGTTGGCATGGCGTCCACACACGGTAACAGGAAAAGAGCCATCCCGAGTAGCTGGCATTGGATTGAGCTGGGAATCTGCTGGTGGGTTGTCTGGAATAATCAGCAGTGGTACGACGACATCATCTCGTTCCAGAGCACGATCAGCTGCAAGAATGCTTGAACAAAATCAAGGCTTGTTGTGACCGGCTCTTCAGCCCCTTGACGCCGCTGCGGCACAGGGTCGGCTCCGGCATGGGTTCAGGGTGCTACTTTTGCGTTGGTGTATCCATGGGATCCATGGGGCGATGAAACCGTGCCAGGAAGTGACGGAGATCGTAGCGGAGGAAGATCGCGAGGAGCTCGGTTGGTTTATGCTCGTGTTCTGCACTCCTGCCTGCAATTGGGTTCATCGGTCCAGCCGGGGCGAGCCATGCATGCCATGCTTTGAGGTGTCAATTTTTCCTCGAGGATAATGTACTTGAGCATCGGCAAGTATAGTGTCCCAAGCTCAGGTTTTCAGCCTTTGTTCAAGCTGGAACAGTTTTGCCGGGTGCAGCGAAGCTGAGAGCTCGAGAGCTTTCCATTTGCAGGTTATGCAGAGGGAGCAGTTTAAGATCATCACAGTGTCATCCTCAGACTCTGCGCACAGAGGGCGCAGCTGGTGCAGCAAGTCGAGTAAGCGGTTGACATCGGAAAAGAACACGTGATGATGACTCTGGAGAGCATGAATTCTTATCAGAATCGAGCTGTGGGTTTGGATTTGGAACGAATTGTAGTGTTTGTGCTTCCGGTTTGTTTGCTAATGCCGGCCATAAGCTGCGAGACAACAACCCGTTCCTGCGGTTGAGGCGAAAGGGGTAGTTGCCGCCAACATCTTTGGAGAGCATCTAATGGGCAGCGTGCTCGAGCCTGAGCTTGGATGGCAATTGGTCCATTGACCCCTCGTTCATCCTCAAATTCTCGCTACTGCCCATGATGGACACGATTCGTGTGCCAACAAGATTCAAGAGCAGTCGGCAACCTCTTGCCCCAAGTCAAACTAGGTGGTGGATGGATTGCGAGCTAGTGGAGGATGAGGCCACTAGATCATAGTCGAGACCTAGATGAGTGGATGTGGTGAGCGATGTGTCAGCACGTCCATCGGCTGCAAGTACGGGTTCATGTGGGGACACAAGCTGTAGACTTTTCACCCGAAACGTTCGCCTGCAGGACTACCAGTCAGCAACGTAGCAAGGCGCCGTGGATCTGCCAGGAGGAGCTAGATCGACGGAAGCGACAGAGCCAGCTAGTGGTTGAAGCAGCTTCAGCTCATGCAGCGTTTAGGCACGCCGGTTTCGCATCGTCTCCTTTGGAAAATCTCTGCTTGTGAAGACTCCGCGATAAGTAAGTTTTCTCCATGTTTGTATGCAGGTATGCAACGAAACCAGCAACATTCTTCGGGTCAACAGTTGCGTGACGCAATCGTGACACAAGGACCACTCTTCTAAATCCACCTGCCTTGGTTGGAAAGGGATTCCCAGGCATGTTCGCATGTTTTGGAAGGCAGCCGGTGATGCCAGGCTGCCCGAGTGACGGCTTGTGAACAACCTACCGCCAGTAGATGTTCAACGCCGAGCTGCAAGTGTTCCGTGCCTTCGTGATCCAACCTCTCTCGCACTGTTCCGCTAGTTAGCAGCACCTACAGAAGGATGCTAGAAGCAGAGAAAGCCCGAAGTGCCCGAAGCTTCTATGCCCATGTGGATCGCGGAGGCAAGGTTCAGATGTCATGCTTGGTTTCTTTACTGTAGACGCAGGGACCGAATCCACGTATCGTGCAAGCAACAAAACACAGCTTTTACAACGGCTGGGTAGGATGAACTGAAAGCACCATAGCTGGCCATAGCTGCATCATTTGCAACTGAAGATAGGATTCGGCTGCGGGGTCGGGTGCGTGCAGGATCACGGTTTGCAAGCCGCACACGCTTTTCTCCGTCAGATATCTCAGTCAAGGCTTGACGATCATGCGGGCTCTGAATAGAATGGCATTTTATGGCCGAGCTTGGGTGCCATATTCTCCTGGGCTGTCCTTGTAGCTTGTACAGCCACAGCGAAGATTGCATCTGCCACCGGGCATGGCAGCACGGCAAATTGTGTCCATCAGTGGGGAATCACTCAAAAGTTTTCCAGACACACGTGCCTTAACAATCAAGGTTAGTAGATCGTAGTGTGAGATGTATTGAGTGGTCCAGGCACTGTGCAGGATGTACATATGAAAGAGAAGAGCTCGATTTCCGACTTGGACACATCCCTGCAAATTTCTCAAAGCAGGGCGACCTGTGCACCGGGTGCCATGAAATAGTTTCACCCATGCCATGCGAGCATTCTGACACCGCGGGGCTTGGTAGCAAAGCGGGCTCCCTGCCTTTGCTGGTGCCCGTTCAGATTCAGGGCTTATCAGGGTTCGCGAAGGCCGACCTCCTGTCTCCGGTTTTTCCAGAGAGCGCAGTTTCGAGGTGGAGACCCCGGCCGCGGCGCCGCCCTTGCTGGCACCTGGAAGGCCAGCAAGGCCCAGAGATGCCCAGAGACAGCAAGGGGTCGGAACCGGGAGGTAGTGTCCTGCAGCTGTCTGCAGCTGCGGCATAACTTAAAGCGCAGTCAGAGGAGTCCAGGAGCATGGTCGAGAGAACGGCAAACATCTCGGCATGACGCGGGCAAGATGGCTCCGTATGGCTCCCATGAGCAGTGCCCGTAGTTGTGCCAAGGCCGGGCATACGAAAGCGGCGCTTACATGGATCAGCCTCTCTATGTATTTCTCATGTCGGCATCACACTCCGGACGAGCAAACACTAACGTAAGTCAAAGCGAAGAGTCAGAAGCAACATGGGTGGTCCCATGAATGGGCACGGCACTCTCGCAACCTTCGCCGGGGACTCAGCTGGCCAAAGTTAGCGATGCCGGAAGTGTTGGGCTCAGGTAGCCAACCATGCGTAACATCGCATTGTTGGAATGGGGCTCTGGTCTCAGCGTTCAGGTGCCCACACAGACAGGACTGAGCTTTGGGGCTCTTGAGGCCCAGCCTCGCTTTTCTACATCCAGCCGAGAGAGCTCATAAAGGCTCGGGATGCTCCAGGTTGCCCCCTGCTTCCGAGGAGAAATTTGCTTCCCTCGCTCTTTTGTGTAGGTTAGGACGCGATGGCTGGATGGTGGCCCGGCGGCGTGCTCAAGTGGTGCAATTCTGATTCTGTGACATGCAGAAGACATGGGAGCATTTGTGCGACTCAGGTTTTACCTCCATTCCTCAGCACGATGCAAGAGGCACAAGCCATTGCCTTACCTCGGGCCCGATTCAGACTTCTTGATAGTGTGTCGTGATCGCGCGAGATGCTGTCTAGCAACAGCTGCCGACGTCTCAGCATGGATCATATCTCGTTGCTCACAGTCAGCAGTCCACAACCCCCTGGTGTTTCGAGTGGCCGTGTTGTGTGGGCTCTGTTGCAAGCACATCCGGGCTTGTACGGGGTTGTCCAGCTTTGGCATGGCTTCCTGTCGGGAGTGGGGTGGGCGGAGCAGGAGTGAACATCCGAAAGATGGCCGGAAATCCAAAAGTTCGACTGCCACACAAAGCTCAATCAAGGAAGCTCAGCTAGTTTCTCAAATCTGTGAAGATCCTTAGAAGAAGCCTGCAAGCAGCGTCCGAAAGGCTTTCCAAGGAGAGAAAAGAGAAGAGCCAGACAAGTGACTGAAAGCTTACAAAGGCTTGAAGCATCCTTGCACGAAGGACCTTACATTAAGCGGTACAGGGATCCTTGTAAGTAACTGTGCGAGTAGCTTCCAAGAGCAAGCATCACAAAGGTTGCAGGAATTGAAGTCTTTCACGAGGAACTGTCTCCAGAGTCAAAGTTTCTGAGTGTTCTGTCAAAGAAAAGAGCAACACGGGGAAGGCTCTTCCGAATGTTGCAAAGCGATTGTGCTGCCCGATTGTCCGAATTTCTCACCGGCCTGCCTCTCACTTGCAGCTAGTTTCTCGGGCTTGCTCTTCCAAGACCTGTGCGCCACACTTGGATACTTGTATGGCTGCTTCTGAGGGCTCTGCCTAAGGCTCCCCGTGACCTTTCCAGCATGTCCTGAAAGCAGGTGTTGTACACGTCAGGACGATTGAACTAGATACACTAGTGATATTTCACGCGAGCATGCCAATCCGGAAGTTGCGATTGGCAGCTTCGGACACAGGGAACTTGGCCGCTGGCCTCACACATGGGTTCCGAAATTGTCTGCAGACTCAGCATCGCTGAGGCCCATGATCCTGATCTTACCATTCGATATGCCTTCAGCGCTTTCGAGGCTGGCGACGATTGTCGAATATTGCAAGCGATGAGTCGTATCCATTCAGAGGTTAGCTCTCATGGCTTTGGCTTTCGGGCTGTGTTCCACTATGACAGCAGCGGCAAGAGCGAAATATCAGTGATCTTCGGCAGGACTTGAACGGTGCCATCCGGAATCTGAGGAGATGTTTCGGTTTCCCGTACCAAGAGTACATCGGGTGTCAGCCTGAGCTGACAGGCTGGTAGGTGTCATGGCAATGAGGACATTGCATCCCAGTCTCTCATTGCGCATGCGTCGAAGGGTCCTGCTGAAGGTACATGAACACCCTCACTCACCAGTATCGCACTCGAAGAGAACACGAGGCCGGCCCGATAGTAAAGACAGAGACATCGAACAGGTGCATAGGCTGCACAGGCACTTCGCGACCAACAGCTGAACCCAGAAAAGGACGTCGTGAGAGTGAAGCTCCGGCCATTCGAAAGACAAACGGTACCGCATTAAGAGTATCCTTCCGAATGTACCGGACAAGAGTGCTTTGCCAAACCCCTATGGTTCTACTTGTCCGCCTGTCCATGTATCCGATCCCCAAGACATGTTTTGCATAGAGATGCACAGAGCTTGTTGAGAATGCCCACGAGAGTAACCTTCAAGAGAGACTTTCAGGGGCTCATCGACCGGATCCGGCGCTGGGCTATGTTCGGCAATGCCTGCGGCCTGGGCATGTCTGTGCGAGGGTAAGAAGCAAGCTGTCCATCACAAAGATTCGACAATTTCCTTGCGTCGAATATCGGAAGCGTTCAGGTCGATGCAGTACTGTGGATTGACTACGCGAAGGCGACGGGGGCTTTCTGCGCTCATCAGGGGCGGCTGTTGGGTTCCGCCTTCAGGTTGGGAGAACGTATTGAAATCATGCTGCTGGTAATGTAGGTGCATTGGAATGCTGTGAGATTCGATGCGCACATGTTGGAATTTGGACGCGACGTGAATACAACCCGAACGCCGAAGATGCAGCTAAGTTGTCGATTTCGATAGTTTGCACTGAGGATCTCGAGCCTGTAGTAAACGTGAGTAGCTTTTAGCCCTGCAGGGCCATGACGAAGTAAAACGAAGGAAGGGTCACGGAAGGCCGGAAGGCATATCAATACCAAAAGGCTCAGATGTTAACTCGCAAAGCTTGGTCCACTGTCTTGTCCGCCATGAGCATAGAAACGAACGAGATTTCTTGTATCGACTTCCTCGTGCTTATCATGCAGAGTCAGCAATGCAGCATGTCACTCCTGCAGTGTTTTGCAGTGTGTTGCGAAGCGGAAGGCGAACCAGCCTCCCGGCTCGTTCAAGATGGGACCTCGGGAGTCGAGGCCTTTTAGCCCAGCGCACATGCAGGCTGGGATATTTTTCCATTCTCTCGGAGCTGCCTGCGTCCCCACTGGGTTCAGATCTGCAATGATCTTCCTGACTCACTTCGCCTGGAAGATGCAAATGACGAGTCCGAGGCATGATCCAGATGGCCTTTCGCCGAAAATTCGGCATGGTCACCATGGCCTGTTGTTCGTCGTCGATTCTGCGCCAGGCCGCCTGGAGTGAGCAGGAGCCGGACGAGGACAGACATCATGGAGGCAAGCGCAAACCAAGCACATCTGCAGTTCCTATGGAGGGAATACGGTGGGTGCTTGAACGCTGTAGCCGCGAGATCTGTATGGCCATGTGGAGGCTTACCACCTGTTTCGTCATCTGGCTTCGATCAGGCGGGTTGTCATGGTATGTCTGCTACCGCTATGATGATCATCTGTAAGGCCCGTTTAGGCTGCTTGTCTTGTGGTGCAGCTGGGCTGGAATTGAACCGTGTGCATCTGCCGCCTCCGATAGCCGATGCCCCGACCACGATGTCGGTTAGCTTCGCCTAGCTGCGCCAGAGCATGAAAGGCCCATACAGATCAGTTAAACAACCAGCCGAGGGAGTCTGGCTCTCAGCTCCTCGCCCTGTGCGCCTCTCGGGTGCACGCGGAAGTGTTGGCCTCCTCTGAGGCCCGGCACGCTGCGGCCCCTGCCTCCCCGGAGGCGAAAAAAATGCACAAAAACCTCTGCCGTCCTTCGCTTCGCTATCGCTTCGCTGCCGTGCAGGCTTCCGAAGCACATTCATCGCACCCGCCCCGCCTACTTGTCATTGACCCAGTGCGACTAGAGCCCACTCTGAGGGTAGACGCAGGCTGTGCTCCGGGGCAAACGAGATACACTCAAGTTGCCGGTATCCTTCCTTGAATTGCCGATTGGCTGCCGAGGTTGGGTCAAGCGCTCAAAACGATGTGTGAAACTTAAACCGCTCTTTCGGGGGCCGCCAGGCCGGCTAGAGAGCCTGGCAGAAAGACTTCCAGCCAATGGCCTAGGTGCAATGTCCCCGAGAAAGAGGAGGTCACGGGCGATTTTTCATGTACTTGGTCGGCAGATTGTCCCTCTGATCAGATGGCCGTGGCTGTAAAGATCGTCCCGGCTGACGGCAAGGAGTGGCAGTATTGAGAGTCCCGTGTCTCGCATTACTGCAAACCTCTGCCACAAGACAGATCTCCAGCACCTGTCAGGACAAGCCCAGCGACAAAGCCAAGGAGGTGCTCAGTCAGATTTATATTTTCAGACATCTCCAGACTCAAAGGGTGGTGCTTCGGTCGCTTCATCCATTTCGGAGTTTCGGAATCATGACTGTGTGCGTGTTCCGGTATTTTCAGGAGGACGAGGTTGTACGCAAAGAGAGCCGCTGCAGGCTGAGAAGCAGATGCTGCGCATTCAGCTTCAGGAGGAGTTCGTCCCGGTGCCAGGCACAGCTCCCAAAAAATCCGAGCCCCCCTCCCCCCCCCCTGCTTCGATCGTTGCGGTGCCAGGCAGCATCTATCAACGCTCCATCGTTCCAGGCCCAGGCTCCCGGGGGGGGGCCCCCTGGGCATAGTCTGGGGAAGTTCCTGTAGCTCCCGAATCCCAGCCAGAGGCTATTACGGCTCGCCAAAAGTTCCCGGGCACGTGACACAGGCGCTCAGAGCTCGCACCCCTCCATCCCTCAAAGCAGCGTTTGCTTTCACCGAGGAGGCAGCGACGTTTGGCCGGAAGACCGTGCCTCAGACATCGGCGATTCAGCAGATCAGCACGGGCTTCCTTCCGGCGCTTGCACCGCTCATCCTGAAAGTCACGACCTGAAGCTGAGGGGAATGAGTACTTTTGATCAGATCAAGGACTTCGCTGCAAAGTTGCCACCGCCTGAGTATCCACAACCTGAGAGATGCGTGGTTGACAACCTCTCGAGGCCGGGTCCTGGGCAATACAAGGAGAAGGCCTGCTGGTAGCCTTGGGCCGTCTTTTCGCATGTTTGATTCACGTAGCATGTTTAGGAGCACGGTTTGTTATGGACGGTTCTCGACTCTTATGCCTTCTGACGGCCAAGAGCGATTCGGAACTCTCAAGACCTGCTTCGTGAGCCTCCATGCATGTTTGGAGCTCTGAGTGCCCATGAGCATTCCGGAACTCCATTGATGACCCTAGCCATGATTTTGCATCAGCATTCTGAAGCGCTCTCTTGGAAGTGGTTAATGAAGGTTAATGTTTCAAGACGCAATGACGAACAATGCACCTGTGTTTCGATTCTTACATTATTGCTCGGGCAGAGCATTGCAGGGTCCGAGAAGCTGTGGTGCAGAATGCGTTCTTGCAAGATGAGTTGAGACTGTACAGATATCTCAGGCTTCGACGACCGATGAGGTGTTCAAGCACAAGCCGCGCGGTGCTTGACAGGGTGCCGGAATCAAGGAGTGACACAAGACGTCGAACTCGCGTGTGGCAAGGACGCCAAGGACCGGCTGCTTCGGCAAGTCGCCCAAGCTGGTGAGCCGGGAGGAGAGAGACGCTTCGAGGCTTAGGGGCGCGCCTGGGGGGGAAGCACCTGCAGGAGGCCTTCAAGAAGCTTCCCTTCATCTCCAAGCTCGCCTCGGCCTGTGAGGCTCGGGGCACGGGGCGCCGCAGGGCTCCGCAGGGCTCCGCAGGGCTCCGCAGGGCTCGGGGCCATCCGGGCGCTCCGGCGCGCTTTGCAGGGCTTTGGGCTGCACAGCTCGGAGACGTTCCACTGCGTGAACCCGGAGGATGTGCCAGTGCCTCAGCGATCCTCGACCTCTCAGCATCTCTCAGCGAATACGGCTAATATTCACGAAACGGGCCTTGAAAGCCAAGGCGTAAGCTCCCCAGGTATGCCAAGCAACCCGAGCTGCGACCTTATGCAAGCGTTAAAGCTCTCCGCTCCTCAGCACCTCGGTGGCCCTGAGCAGGTTCTCTTTCGGAAAGACTCGGAGGCCGTTCTGAGCCCACCGTGGGATCCCCTCTCAGATCCAGTCTTTGACTCGTCGCCTTGTACAGTGAGCGTTTCGAGAGTCCGGATGCCGTAGCCCGACAGATTATTGCAGCCCATTAGGCTTTAATAGGTCACAGCCGCGGCCTGAATTTGCTGAGTTCAGACTTCTTAGCCAAAGGTTGGAGTGCATGCCCTGCACTTAGGCTGGGAGTATTCAGCGGAAATACATGCGTGTCTAGTCAGTTGCATGGTGGGCTGCCTGGGCGCTGAATCAGGTGCCACGAGAGCTCGCCCAAGCTACGGGTCTCTTCTTAGGAGCTTTGGTCAGACTAGGCAGGGGGAGTAGGCTCAAGGTGTAGCGTAGCAGCCCCCGCTTTGGAGGTTTGCGTTTGCTTTCTTGTGCCATTTTTCTCGGTATATCCTTCTTCTCAGAACTTTCTTTTCGGCGACACACTCGGA